ACAGACTGTCAACCGTATCCCTAACTATCCCAAACTACCAATCCAGATGGCCCAGAAGGGATTTTCCCCTGGTATCTCCAACTAAGCAGATCCTTTTCCTCCAGTTCTGACGGACTCAGTCCCGGCAGTCTGGTTGGTGGGGTGCCTTGCCATATACCGGTCCTCGTTCAGTTTTTGCTAGTTCTCCAGTGGCAATCTTTTACATAGCACCGTCGAAGATCTGTGCTACTTCTCGACTTGGGTCTTGCCAAGCGGGTATCCATCTTTCTGGTTCCTTGGATTAACACGATCCGGAACATTCATGTAACTCATACATTACACTAATGCCCTATGATCTTCCAATCTTGTTGGTACCACCAAGGTTACAGAGATCCCATTCTAACTGATCGTCAAAAGGCAGTAGCCATCATACAAGTAGAATATTCGAAATTCATCGCTAGTGGGTTTTGAACCCCCTACCTGACCAACATATCGCTTGGGGGTGCAACAACTTAACCACTTCACTAAGTCGCCACACCCTTCTAAATCTTGCTTTTTAACTTGCAACAAATTAATTTGTCTTTGAATTTCCAACTGTTTAATTTTATTTTGTTTTAGCTGATTATTTAATTTTTCTTTTTCTGCATTAGCTGTGATGATAATTCTTATATAGGTTCAGTCTTTAATGGTAGTTTGGCTATGGAAGATAATTTTGATAAAACAATAAATGTCATTGTTGACATAATCCTTTATTTATTGTATATGAAAAGAGATATATCAATTTATGTTAAAAATAAATCAAATTTTTTAGCTGAGAAGTATAAAATATTTAGGTTCATAAAAAAGTTTTATAAATTGTTCTTACTTAAAATGATTTTTTTCTTTAGAAATTTTTTTCTTTAGATGATCCCTTAAAAATAAAAGTTTGACCTTTACTTTATAGTTGATAAAAATCGTAGTTATTTAATTATTACTATTTTTGAGTACAGTTGTTAAGCAAACTATTTATTTTAGGAATTGAATTTAATGTAGTATGTGACATATAATTAATTCTACTAAAAAGCATGTAAATAACGTACTTTGTGTTATTATTAGCTAACACAAGAGTGATCAGAAGAAGAGATAGCACTAGATCTAGAAAGATAGCCAACATTGACAATAGCAAAGTTAGTAGCAATATGGGCAGCAATTTTAACAATACCAAAAAAGAAGCAAGTAGAAATACATACAGATAGTAATGCTGCAATAAAAAATATCAGTAGAGGTCTAGAGCAAGTAGACAGAATGAAGACTTTCAAGAAGAAGAATATGATATAAATAACAAAGATTATAAACCTTATTAAGACAAAGAATTTACAAATAGAGTTAGTTAAAGTGAAAAGTTATAGTAGAAATAAGTGGATTGACAAAGCTGATAGCATTGCAAAAAAAGGAGTAGCAAGCAGAAAGATAATAAAAGCTAAAGAAGTCAGTTGTAAAAAGATAAAGTATTGCTTAGAGTGAAAAAACAAGCAAACTGATATACTAGCAAGACTGTTATGCAAACTGGTAACAAATGCAAAATTGGGAGCAGAATAGAAAGAAACAGAAGCAATTAGAAATTTAGAGCCAGAAATAGAAGTTACGATTTATAACTAAACACAATTTTAAAAAAACTGAAAACAACCAAAGAAGTACATTGCATAACAAGAAGAAGTAGTACAAAAAAAAGTGTATTTATAAAATGTATAATAGATAAACTCCTGATCTTGAAGAAAGTTAACAAAAGAAAGCCAGATATATACACAACAACAGAGTGTCAAGTATGTTCAGATAAAGTAAAAGAAATGCAAGCACATCTGGTATCATTCAAGGGACAAACAAGTCTTTGAAAAAGAATTCAAAAGGTGACCATTACAACAGCATAGAAAGACTAAAAG